ACACCATTTCTGCTTAACAATGGGCTGATGACCCTTATCAGTAGCCAGAGGATCTGAGTCACTAGGGTAATTATCAAGATTTGAGGGAGAGAGCCTTTTTCCAAAGAAAGGAGGGAAGAAAACTTAACTAGATTTACTAAAAAGATTAACTTTGCAAGAGATGTCCCTTCTCATTTCCTGCTAAAAGATTAAGAATTTCACAAGTGATGTCTTGTCTCAGAATGTTTTTATAACTTTCTTTATATGTCTGGGACCTCCCTCCATGGTCCACGGTCTAATGTGGTATGCCAGTTTACAAATACAATCATCAGTTTTATCTAAGGATAGAACTTTCTCTTTGCATTTGACTCACGTACAAATTAATTTGATAAGTACATTAGAACATTCGCTGTGTTTCTAGGCTCTATGTTCTGTGGATGGATAAAAGGGTTAAGAAAACCTTTATGCCTTTAAGAACTCGTTGTCTAGCTGCTAGATAAACATTAACAGGAATAATTATGAAACCAAGTGCTATCACAAAAAGCTCCAGTAGAAAGGAGAAGGGGAGTTTTTCTGCCTCATGGTGGATACAGAAGATATGGAGATATTAGGAAAGACTTCTGTTAGATCAGTGGTCTCCAGATGTAGGCCCCAGGACCAGTGGTAGTCTCTAATAGAATTTTCACTGACTTGTGGCAGAGTGAGGGGGAAAAAAAAGAACAAGATGGGTTTTTTTTCTGTGAATAAACTGAATTCCAGAAACTACCTTTATGATTTAAAAAAATTCTTTAGTCTGAAATTATGTACTTACATTTTTTTCTGTTACATTGTCCCTTAAGAAGTCATAATGATAATATGTATTAGTATTTGGTTTTTTTAATTGCAAAGTAAAACTTGTCAACCTCCAATCAGTCTGCATTTTCATTCATTTGTGGATCCTTGAAATCCCAAAGGTTAGGCGCCCTTATTTAGATGGTTGCGTTTAAGCTGGAGTGGGAAGAGAGATAGATGCTCCTGTATAAAGGAGTTCCTGCTATTTGCCTGTCAGCAGTTTAATCACATCTACTTTAAGGGGAAATTAATTTATGAGAAAGAAAAAATAGATGCTTTTTAAAACTGGTTTTGAATATTTTTGTATGTGTCTGGGGAAGTGTGGGGGAAGGTGGATCTAAGAAAAACCTGTGCCCACAGTGGTACAGAATTTGAACTGTAGCTTTGGAAAGCTGCTGCTGCCAGAAAGAACTGCCCTGCCCTCAATAAAATCTTAGAAAATTTAGATAAAATTAGGCTCGATGAATGTAAACCTCCTACTTCTTTCTAAGCATTAGGTTAAAAAAATAAAGGGGAGGAGAGGTCTTCCCCCCTCTCCCCACCGTTAATTTTTCTCAAGGGGATGAAAGAAACAGTGAGCCATTGAATCTGTGAGTCTAAGTGGGTCAGTGGTCATATTTAATATGTCCACGCTGAAGACTGGCTGTGCCCAGTGTCCCTTGTTCATCTCACCTACAGTAGCAAAGCTTTTTATCTTTTTGTCAATAGATGCCTCTCAGGAATTGAACTATATCCATAAATTTAGGGCTGTTTCACCTCTGAAGAGGTAGGTATTCAAGAAGAATGACAGATGATATAAGAACTGAATAATATCAAAAGATGTTTAACAACAGTATAGGAATTCCCCTATTTGAACTCTGGGGCAGAGATCTTACAGGAGTTATCTTCCCTCAGTTCCTCCCAGCATAAGTACTTTAAGAAATGATCAAAGATTTCCTTGAAAACTTGCCAGACAAGGCTTTTAAATAACAGGCTCTCAATCTGCTGTGTACTTGGAAACTATCCCTGTGAATGGTAAAGTAAGAGGGCTCCAAGGTCATATATGCTCTGTTCAAATCCTTGCTTGACACCTTGCCATCAAGTCACAACCTTGCTAAGTCTCAATTTCCTCTTCTCTACAATGGGAATAATAGTTGTTACTCCATAGGACTGTTGTAAACAAAAGTAATAAGCATGCAGCAAGGACAAAGTACTATTCTTATATTTTAATTTTTATTATTGCCATTTTCTTCTAGGAGGAGAGCCTCTTTCCTGCCCCATCTCTCCTCTGTTGTGCGCTGTCTACCATCTTTGAGTCTAGAGGGTCCTGATTCAAGAGAACATGCATACTATTGTTTGCATGTTGATTGTTTCAGCTTCCTTGAAACTAAAATGTCTGCACATGAACAGCAACCAAAAAAAAAAAAAACCCTGTAATATTTATAGGGCAGATCATTTATTTTGGTTAACTGTCATATATTTAAGCAAATTATCCAAAATTTTGTATCAGAGTATTTCTAGACAAAATCGTGTAGAGAAAAAAATGTTAAGCAAATTATACATTCTGTTAACAATACACAGACCTTTTCCCCATGACCTTTAGCAACTCAGCAATGGAAAATATCAGAAGGAGATAACATACTGTGGATGGGGCAATAGAATATTATACATCCTTCCTGGTTCCTGCTTTATAAAAAAAATAAGAGGAAAAGATACGTGGCCTCGAGGGGTAGAATCATGGCCTGATCTGGCACACAGAAGTGTGCCTTGAAGCCTGTCTCCCCTGAAATGACTAGCTAAGCTGTTGGAGGTTGAGATTGAGAAGCTAAGAAGGCCCTCTTTACTCACACACTCCCAAGCAACAAATTTTGTAATTAAATTAAAAGGGAGTAGAGGGGTCACAGGGTTATATCTCTTGCTTAGAAGTATTAAATTGACCTAACCTTGAAGAACACTATTTTGAGTCATTAATTTATTCAACCAGTAATTATTGGACACCCACTGTGTGCCAGACACTGTTCTGGACACTGGTAATCAAATAGAACCAAGTCCTTGTTATCATGGAACTTACAGTCTAGTGGAGAAAACAATATAGAAAACACCCCACAGGAATTCACAGCTGAGCCACCCCCCTCATGGCACAGGAACACCCTGAGTGTGAGCTTGGTGGTTTATGCACAGTAATCACCATGCTTAATATTCACTCAGAGAGTTAGGGGTATGTTTTCTGGTCATTATACTAATCAAAATTAGTAACTTCCAATTAAAGCCGCGAGTATTTTTGACCTCCAAAATGATTGACATGCCTTTGAAGATCTATTTTTGTCCTGCGTTCTCAAGTTTATGTCCTTCATGGTAGCCAACAAGGAAAACGCTACCCGGACAGTTTAATAGTACAAGCTACATGTTATCCATGATACTTGATCTATCTGTGATACTGACTTGCTGAGAAGCAAACCTTTGATTTACCTAATGTAATTTTGTTCTTTAAGCATTGAGGTTACCTACTTAGGGTTATACTCTTTGGTATATTTAACTTTTTTTGGTATGCCTTCTTAAGTTTCAGTATACATTTTAATGAGTCAAAATCTTGGCTAAGCAAAACTTGGATAATATTACATGTGTTGGTAAAGCCTTGAGAATGACCTTCAGATTTCTGTTGGCTGGAGGTTTGTAAAAGAGGAGGGTTAGTTTTAACCTTAACCTCCCAACCCCCGCCTTCCAACAACTCTTGTAAAAAATATTCGGTAGATTAAGTAGATTAAGTAGAGCACATTAGGTGTTGCATTTCAGCTATGGAGTGATATCTAATACCAAGTCAACATTTATTTTTAACTCTGGATGCACTGTATTAAGTAGTTAAGAGCAAGTCTTCTCTGAAATATCCCATGCAGATTATTTGTTAATTACAACAGAAAAAATGGTACCTTTACAGTGGGAATATCTGGCAGATAACACCATCACCAGTGAATCTAACATTATCCATGATGGTGATTATTGATTGACATTATGTTCTCCCTGATGAGATGCAATGGGAAGTACACAACATCATTTTGGTAATATTCTTACCAAAGAATGTTTAACTAGAATCTAACCATGAGGGAAAAAGCAGACAAATCCAGATTGCAGGGCATTCTGTTAGGCAGTTGGCTTGGACTCTGCAAATATACTAATGCTGTGAAAGACAAAAAAAAAAAAAAAACCACGAAAATATCATATAGAATATTTGAGGAAAAATTGGAGAAATTTTAATATAGTCGTTTTATTAGATAATCCTTTTATATTGGTATTAAGTTCCTTGAATCTGATTGTTATAAAGGAGAATATCTTTGTTCTTAGGAGATACATGCTAAAATTTTTAGGTACAAAATGTCATGAAGGCTGCAACTTTCAAAGGTTCAAGACAAAAGTAAACATATATGGAGAGAGAATCAAACATGGCAAAATGTTAATTGCGGAATCTAGGTGAAGGGAATATGTGTGTTCATTGTATTCAACTTTCCTGCAGATTTCAAATTTTTCAGAATAGGGGGATGGGAGACAAGGAATGTCTATTCGAGGGAATTTATTATAGAAATCTGGAATGAAAATGTTAATCTAAAAATAAAAAGCCTTTCAAAGTGAGAGGCAACAGCATTTATTCGAGATCAAAGAATAGCTATTCCGGAAGCACTGATTCAAGTCAAAGCTCAAATAATGTTTTGATTAGGAGACAAAGGCAATGGGTATTTATGAGAAAGAGAAGGGGAACAATTACATCAATAGAAGGAAGGCATTTTAATTGGTGTAGATAGCATAGCAATATTCTAAAGAATGTTCTTAATTTTTAGTCTGGTAGACATCAGCATGGTAGTCATGATTGCTTTCTTGTTATCCTTGCAAACAGTTCTTTGGGGTACAAGGTTGCTTACGCTCAGTCCAAAGGTAATTTTGCCTTGTTATAACATTGTAAAGGTTTGCAGCAAGGCAGTTCCTCTGGCATGGAAGCTCCAGTTCCATTTTAAAGTGTCTCCATTATTTTTTACAAAAATAAAAGATGTGAGAAAACATATGCACAAAACTGAGTTGTGACACCTCAGAGGAATAAACTCCAGACAATGGACGAAACTTTGCAGTGAGACTCACAAGGGTTTCGTTCTGGTGGGTCCTCTGTAGACACCAGCCATGAAATTGTGGGCAATCTGCCTAAACACTCTGTATTCATTTCCTAGGGCTGCTGTAACAAGTTGTTTAGCTTAAAACAACAGAAATGTACTGTCTCAGTTCTGGAAGCCAGAAGTCAAAATCAAGATGTCAGCAGTGCTGTGCTCCCTCTGAAACCTGCAGGAGAGAATCTTTCCTTGCTCATTCCCTGTTGCTGCTGGTGGCCAGCAATCCTTAGCAGTCCTTGGCAATCCCTGGCTCGTAGCTGCAGCAGTTCAACCTCTTCCTCTGTGGTTAGTCTTCTCCCCTTCTGTGTCTGCCAGTATCTCTTCTATAGTGAGGGTAGCAGTTATAAAATTAGTGCTGTCTTAATGACCTCATTTTACACTTGATTATATCTGCAAAAGACTCTTTAAATATTGTTGCATTCACAGGTTCTAGGGGTTAGGGCTTTGACATATCTTTTCGGAGGACACAATTCAACCCATAATACTCTCCATCTTTGTTTCTCCAACTCCCAAATAAGAATAAAGGAAGTGATGGAGCTGATAACCCAAAATGAAGTCTGAGGCCCCTTCTGCTCTGAAAATCTGAGGCTCTGTGTGTCCACCGTTCTCAGGTGATACGTTAGTCAGCCTTGGACAACTAAGCAGCCCAAGAGAGACTTGGTGAGGAGAGAGTTCCATTACAAGACAGAGAAGTTATGAGACTTTTGGAAAACATGATTCATGTACATCCTTGGCTCAGCAGGCTGTTTTTTTGTTGCTGTAGTTTTGCTCATCACAGTTATTCTTTGTCCTCATTTTTATTTGTCTAAATGATTGTTCATCAGAAGTTTTCTATACTGAATTCTTATCCTGTTACCCATAAAATGAGATGTTAGCATTAAACAAATAATAAATGGCACAACTTCTGAGTAATTTCAGAAGTTGGATAGGTCACCAGCTGGAGCAGACTAATGAGAAAAATCAAGACTCCTCTCTCTGTCTTTGTCTTTCAGGCTAAAAAAAGGCAAGATAAAAAGAGAAGACACTCTGTAATGAATAAGGGCAGCGGCACCTTCAAATCTGTCGGCCCTTCTTGCTGGGTCAGCTCTGGATATCTGGAGGGAGAGATCCTTTGAGGCCATCTGGGGATCGCAAGTAGAGGAGGCAGGGGGCAACATAAATGAGATGAGAGCAGTCCATACTCTTTCCTGATGTACATGTGCTTCAAAGGGAAAACTGTGTCAAAGCCAGGGAAGGGGAAAGCACAAAACAGTGAGCTGAAAGAGGACGTGTTCTCAGAACCCCAGAACCACAGTCTTCAGTGCAACATGCTGTATATAAAAATGCATCTGTCTCTCATACATCTCCCTCCATGTGACCGAAAGTGGACTCCAGGTCTATAAACCAGGACAGGGTGGTGTCCCATCTGAGACATCTCTGACTTGTATATAGAAAGCAAAAACTTAAGTGAAATGGACTCTTCTCCAAAATTAAACAGTGCTTTTTTTTTCCTTTCAGAAATTATTTAAATAAACAGTTTGTAATTTAATTATAATGTCATTATGAAGGCCTGCTCAGTCACTTGCTGCCATCAGTAGGTAAAACACTGGGAATTCACACTGTGTCATTATTCTGGTCTTCCTCTGCCATTTATTCAGCAGTGGGAGTTAAGGGTTTGTCAGCATTTCCATAATTACCTCTTATTTTCAAAGCCTCTGTCATAGTTGCTGAAAATTGCATTGTACTAGACGGAAGCCTAAAGGTAATTTCCTTTAGTGTTACAGCGGCTGCATTCTTGTACAGCCGTATGTGACTGTGCAGGAGATTTCAGTATCTTTTTATTTAAAAAATTTACACGTAAGTCTCAACTCTTATTTTCGTATAACTTTTATCCAAGATTGGGATGTGAATCATGTGAAATAAACATTTATGAACAGTACACAATTCAAGAAAGGTACTACCTTGGCAGCAACGGGACAAAGTATGGCCAGGAAGTAATGACATTGGTATGGTGATAATCTAGTCATAGTTCTTTATGTTCACACATTGTATATCTCTGAGATTTACAATATTGTAGGGAGCTAAAGCTCCCCAAATTCAAAAGAGTGCATGGATTGTTTCGGGAGGCCTGCTTGCATAAAAAAGAAAAGGCTGGTTCTGTGGAATTCCAGGAAGAAGAAGATTAAGTATAGCCTAAGGGAGTGTCGAAGGGAGTGTCAAAGGAAGTGTCAAAGGAAGTGTCAATTGTACCTGGATCTTCAGGATGTTACTTTTATTATGTTGTTTTGGGATACACAAAGGAACAGATTGTGTTTAAAAGAAGGATAAGAAATAAACTCGGAGAGACAGTTGTGAGATCTGTTCTCCCTCTTGCACCCTGTCTGTCTTCTCTTTTTTCTCAGTCCCCGCTCCCCCATTCAGGTACCCGGTTTGACTTGGTCGGCTGGCTTCCGACACAATATAAAACAGAAGGGAAGAGAAGATACGGTCTTAAATTAGAAATTTAAATTATATATATTGCACTTGCTATAGACATTGGGATCTTCTCATCAAATCATAGAATTTCAGTGTCTGAAGATTAGATCTCATCTATCAGTTATGGATACTTCATCAATTCTACATTCCCTCTTCCACCCTTCGAATAATTTATCAGTTATTTTTTGCTGTGTAACAAAGAGCCCCAAAACTTAGTGACTTAGAAAAAAACAACCACTGTGTAGCTCACTGTTTTGACAGTTAGAACTAAGCTCAGGTAGGTGGCGGTTCTGCTGCTCCCTCTTGGGATCACTAATGTGGCTACAGTCAGCTGGCAGTTCAGCCAGAAGCTAATTCAACATGGATGGCCTCACTCACATGTCTGGTTGTTGGCTATGGCACAGAGGTAACTACATCATGTTTCTCGAGCATCTAGCAAGTTACCCCAGGCTTTCACTAGCCACTGGGTTCCAAATAATGCAAAAGAGAGCAGACCCCAATGCACAAACTCTTTCCAAGCCTCTGTTTCTGTCACATTTGCAAATGTGTCATTGGCCAAAGCAAACCACATGGCTAAGCTCATGTGCAAGGAAGTGAAGAGATAAGACTCCATTTCTCAGTGGAAAGAACAGCAACATAAATGGAAGTATGCATCCGTTTATGGAAACTAGGGTCCCAGCCAGTTAGTTTCAGCTGGGATCTCTCTAGTATTCAGTCTTGCCTGAGAAGAAATAGAAGGGGAGATAGCTATGGGTCTGTGTGTACAAAAGACCAAAAAACCTCAGAGAAGTGGGAATTCATCCCAAGGAAAAAGTCACAAGATTGTCCAAGGACATTCAGTTAGTAAAGCACAGTCCTTGTCTGTCCCTCAGCTGGCCCCAGCCCTGACCCCATGATCTGTACCCATGACCCGAGGAGGTTGCAGTAAAAAGCACACAGTAAGGTTTTGGTGACGTTTCTGGGGAAGGGAGACATAGGGATTTAGAGGGTGATGGGGGCATTCCTCATTTGGGTCCCCTCTGGTGGGGGGGAGGGGAGTGGGGGGCGGGGGGCTGAACCCAGCATACTTTAAGACTGTATTTGATGTGGAAATGGAAGTCAGCCTGTGGCAGGCATCCACATCTTTGACGCCTATTTCGATGGAATGTTCAGGAGAAACTCTCAGCCTCAGCACATCAAGGCAGGAGAGAGGATTCATTCTCAAGCACACATAAGTCATCCTCAGGCCTCCCACACGAACTGAAGGACATTGAGGGAACTGATGTTCCCATAATGCAAGCAAGGCCGGAGCAAGAGAAACATTTTGAGGTGATGGTTAACCTTGATCCTATTTCTAGCTTCTGGCTATTGTGACCTGAGGAACAGGGATCAGAACTGTCCCGTGGTAACAAGCCCTGCTTTTTGAACTTGGCCTTGGCAGAACTTTACATTGTAGTTTGTTTTTGACATGTCTGAATCTCCACACAGATTCATGGTCCTCACACAGTTGAATGGTCCTTACATTCTTCCACCTACATAAAAGAAGTAGCTATCTGCCTGTTGGTGCAAGTTAGTTCTCTTCTCTGTCGCCTCCTGTTTTGCATCAATTTTGGAATGAATTCTACAGCTTCTCCCAGTTTGGGTTAAGGGATAGGCTTTATTGGGGAAAAAGAACACCTATAAAGCAGATCACTTAGAAAAGACATGAGTTCTCTGCCTTCCATAGTTCCACAGAAAGACAGGTGAGGGTTCTCTGCAAAATTTAGTATGCATTTATATTCTAGTAGAGGAACAATATTCCCCTTCTACTCTTTTATCTATAAAGCAAGTATAAAAGGCTGCCTTGTCAGGAATACTCAAACTGCTTGGTCCAGGAAGTCTGGATTTGGGGCCCAGCTGTTTAGAGGAATTTCTGAGAGAGCCAGCTGCCTAGTACCTGGGGACCTTGAGGTGCAAAGGATGCTGCAGTCCTGCAGGAGGCAGGACACTACCAGTCCCATGGAAAGCTGAGCTTAGGTGCAGCCTTTCTGCTGGAAGGTCGTCTCTGGTTCCTGCTAGCTCATTGTCCAAGCAGGCAGAGTGAGCTGCAGGGTCATTTTCAGACAGTTTTTGCTCAGCATACTATACTTGGTGACAAGTCTGGAGCCAGGAAGCCTAACACTTGCTATGGCCTTAGAAGAGTCCCTTCACCTCTCTGACCCTAGAGGTTCTAATATTCTTGCCGGTTGTTAGGGAATTAAATGAGAGTGACTGGTTGCCAAACAACTAAAATGGGAGACTGGGAATATAGCCAGCAATATTTTTCAGCACTCCTCTTTTAGAATTAAAAGGTAAATCATAGCCCAACAAGTGAGTGTTGGTAATTTGTCAAAATGTTTCTTCCAAATTATGTCTTCAGTAGCTAGTATAAATTCAGCCTATTCTTCTATCCTGCATGCCAACAAATAACACAGTTGCCAGCTCATGGCCAGCTAAGAATATTATAGCCTAAACTCACTGAGAGGAAGTCCAAAGTGAAGACCATACATGTTGGATTCTGTTTATTTGTTCTAGTTTAGAGGTGGCCTCAAAAGCACAGCTCAGAGGTTTATAGAGAAAACGCAGAACATGACACCAGAGTTGGAATTCTCTTGCAACTAAGATAATACATAAAAGCATGAGCAGCAGCAAGAGCTGAGAGGTTTGAAACAGGTATGACTACAGTTGAGCAGTTGAGCCACTGCTTGAAATTCTTGGAAGAGGGAATGTGGAAACAGTGGAGGCCCTGGTTAGATTAAAGGAAAAGCCGAAGTCAGAGAGAGCTTGTGTCTCACTTCCAGTTTGGAGCTTTGAGAGAAGCCCACCTCACTGAGGAGCCCTCAGAAGAGCAGAATAGTGGTGTGGCATGGTCAGGCAGTGAGAGGGCCTTCATGTGACATGCAGGTGATCCAGAGTTCCACATGTCTCCCTGGGGAACACAGAAGTTGCAGTGTGTAAGAAGGGACCTGGGTTTGGAATGAAGATGGGGTACAGTACCTAGGCAGATAATGGTGGTGCACACTCCAGGGCTGAGGGGGACCAGTGTATCACTGTTGGAGGCTGGGGGGGGGATGCTGTTGTAAATGGGATTGTTTCCTAATTTCCTTTTCAGATAGTTTATTATTAGTGTGTAGAAACACAACTGATTTTTGTTTGTTGACTCTGTTATATTCTTGCTATATTTTCTTTCGTTGCTTAGGCTTTTCACCAAAGCACAATATATTGTCCTAGTAGTATATCTAAGAAACCACTACCTAATCCAAGTTCATGAAAAAGTATACCTATGTTTCCTCCCTAAATGTTTTATAGTTTTAGCTCTTACACTTAGGTGTTTGTTCTATTTTTAGTTAATTTTTATACATGGTGTAAGATAGGAGTCCAATATAAAAGGTATTTTCATAATTTCTCTTAACCTTTTTATTTTTTAAAATGTGGCTACTAGAAAATTTAAAACATACATGACTCACATTTTTCTATCAACACTAAAATAGATCAGTGGCAATATCAGAATCACAGCTATAAATTGCATAAAAGTGTATTGAGCACATAACAATGTGCCAGGTGCCATTCTAGGCACAAGAGATAGTCTCCTCTCAAGGAGTTAGGAATATTTTGTGGGAAACAGGCAAGCAAACAAATTCACCATGGTAGAGGATCTGAGTCTCAGTTTTATGTCCAGAAACTCATTCTCATTAGTTCCAAAGGAAATGGCATCCTGAAAGACTGACTCACACTTACCATCCTCATGAGAGACTGATGTATAACCATGTGCCACTGTTTTCAGTATTCCATGAGAACTGTAGTAATAACATCTATGATTTATTGAGCACTTAGTATTTGGGGTCACTGTTCTAGGCATTATGTCATTTAGTCCTTGTAATGACCCTTCGAGATATATTACTATTATCATTCCCATTTTACAGATAAGGAAATTGAGTTGCAGAGCTTTGAAAGTATTTGCCTAAGGTCACACAGCTGGAAAGTCTCAAACTTAGTAACCGTGCTCTTTACCACTACACTCTCACCAACTGTGTTGCATGTTTGCGTTGGCCACTCATTGGTTTCTGTTCCTCTGTAGAAGGATCTTCATGCATAGCAGAATTACGATTAGGAAGTAACTGAGTATCAAGTCAGAGCAAGGAGAGTCAGGGACATAAATTGAAAGGCTAATGGCATCAAGACACAAAGTACTATGAAAATATACCTGCTGCATTGATAGAGCAGTTGAATTTGGGGAGTCATGGAACCCCTTTCTCTGAATACTGCTAACTTCTGCCTCTCTGTGCTTGTGTTTATATTCTGTGTAATTGTTTCTGGAACGGCAGTTCTACTTTAATTGGTACAGTCTTTTGACAGAGCAGTACCTACAGTCATGTCTTGCTCTTCCTGTTTTGAGTCTAGGAAATATTTTCTTAAGTTGATTGATTTATTGCATTCTTCCTCCGGGGGTTGGCTTGACCAGTCAAAGTAGCAGAGCTCTGATCGACCACACTCTATCTTCACTTCCCTTCTCATATCTAAGTCCTGAGATTTTCATGCCACCAGCACCGTGTGTGTCTCTCGTAGTAACTGAAACTAATCTGGATTAAAATGATAGACTTTCTTAGTCTTCCTGCCTGAAATGTTCCTCTCTCCTCTCCAGCTTCCACATGTAGGCTGCCACCCAAAATAATTCCTGTCTTGACCTACCCTTTAGATGGCTCCCTTTTCACTTCAAAATAAGC